CAATTATTAACAAAAAGATGATTTTACTTTTTGCAAGTTGGATTGATAAAAAAAATCCACGATATACTTTTATAAAAGATATAAAGTATAAATATAAACTTTTATATCGTAGCAGTAAAGATGGTTTAGATGAAAGAATATTTCATCAAAAATGTGACAATATCGACAAAACTCTTGTAGTTGGTAAAATACAAAATTCAGAACAAATAGTTGGTGGCTACAACCCATTAAATTGGAATGGCGGTGATTTTGTGTATAAAAGGACAATGGAAAGCTTTATATTTAATATAAGCAATAGAAATGATGTTAATACTGCAAAATTTAGTTATGTATTTAATAACGATTATGATCATGCAATTGTGTGTGCTAGTTCTCAGTTACCAATTTTTGGTAGATCTAATATTTTTTTTGGAAAATATGGCAAGGTTATAGTTGATGATGGACAAAAAGTTTATAATAATATCAATATAGTAAATGGTAGTATATTTGACGAATTGGAGGTTTTTCAATTAATTGATAAATTATAGAATATTTTTAGAAAATAGATATAAACTTATTTTTATAATATCTTTGCAAATTTTCTTTTTAAAAATTTTAAAAAATTGATTTTATTATCTTCAGAATATAATAAAAAATCTCATTCATTCATCTATTCTAAACAAAATATATATTGCATCCTTGAAAAGGCAAATATTAGTGACAATAAAATGATTTAAAGCATATAATTATATTTGATTTTTTATTTGCTTTGAAAAACCAAATTAATAGTTGGAATCATTCTACAAATTACATCAGGAAATTTTTAGAGCGTCAAATAGCATTGAAAAACATTACTGTTTTTTAACACCAAAAAAATGTTAATCAACAGACCCTGTGCAAACAAACTGTATTGAAAAATCCACGTTGTATAATGCAATAATATATTTACAGTATATGACAATCTATTAACACGAAAAGTGATTTATTAAATACATGTATTATTAAGGTATTTATTACATTATTTTTTAACCACTATATAAATAAATGATTATATATTATGCCTCTATTGTCCACGCCATAAAAAAGAGAAAATTGTTGAATTTATCAAGCGTTTTTAATATTAATAATGAGATCCCCTGATGGATGACGAGTGACTTTGATTATTAAGAAGTTTATATGGTAACTTTATGATTATAATTTGAAGTTATTGATTATTTTTGATAGGCTTGCAGTTAAAATACACATTATACATAATTTTGGAAGATGTACGACTATTTAAAGCTTTCTTGTTAATTTTTTTTTCAATAATGCGTGTCACAAAAAAATAAAATCAAGTTATAAAATAATAACCTTCATTGATTTTTTTATTTACATACTTGTAACAATATTGATATATTATCAATATTATTTGCATTATATATACTGGCATCAATAACTATTAATCAAGTTAAAGGACCAACATGAACAGTTTGAGATTTTAATTTTTTTAATAATTTTTCTTTTTTGCCTTTTTCTTTCTGGAACTTTTCCCAATTTTTTTCCGCACCCTCAATAATTTGCGTCATGAGATTCGAGGCAGATCCCTTCTCCAAATGACACAATTTATCATCAGTCAACAGTGGATTTCGTTTCTTAATCCAATTCAATTGTTGTTTAGTGATGGGCTGATTACGCCATCTGGTAAAACGTGATGCAAGGATAAACGATAACTTGTTACCAAACTTAAACTTTACCCAACTATCACACGCCTTTATTGCTGTGTCAAGCCTGTCGCCTATGATTGGAAGTGGCTGCACTGATCGAATTGGTATTACGTCATCTGATTTTGCCTTTGTCTTGTATTTTACACTCCTATATTTTGCTTTAAACCTTCCTATATATCAAAAAAAAGAGTAAATGTTAGCTAATAATGTCATTAATATTATCACTAGTCAACTGGTTTAATTAATGCCAATCCAAACTAACCATCAGTGTCTCTATCTAATTTTATACTGCCTTTAATACTCAATGATAAAACATAACTTTCATAGCCAACTCTAACCCACGCATTATCAGATATGACCTTGATGTGTGAAGCACTCGAACAATCATCTATCAACTCATTGACACTCAAGTATTCTTCAACATTTATATTAGAAATTTCTTTGATTTGTGATGTCAATCGATCGATTCTTTCTTTGTCAATCACATCATTTGGCGATAATGTGTTCATATATATTCCATTTGATGTTGGTATAATAGGTATTAATTCAGCATTTTGATCATCATTCCTTTCTCCTCCTACAAGTACTATAATTTTAAGATATGATTATGTGATGTGTTAGTACACACACACACACATATAAATATGTAAATGCATTAGATTGAATTGATTAGTATGATGATTATAATCACCATTTGAGGTGGTTAAACCCAATAAAGTTGGAGATGTGACTAAATCGGGAATATGTTTTGTAGATGAGTCAATAAAGTCCAATATTAAACAATCTTTTTTTCCTTCGTGTAGACGCATTCCACGACCTATCATTTGTTGAAAAAGTACAGGTGATTTTGTTGGTCTACCCATAATAATACAATCAATATTTGGTATATCTGTTCCTTCTGTCAATATACCTAAAAATCATTAATCCATTAGTTTATTTATTTATTAAAAATGCTTTTTTAAAAATTAAGACTCCCCTCTAAAATAAAAAAAGAATTTACCACAATTGACTAAAACAGAAAATTTTTTTTCTCTAAATTTTTTTATAACTTCAGCTCTTATATGTGCTGGGGTTTTAGATGTAAGCGAATAAGCTTCAATCTGTGCATCCAAAAATGCTTGTCTTAATTTTTCAACATGTTCTATATCAACAGCAAACACTAATGTTGAATGCCTGTCTTCTATAATAATGATGATAATAATGATGTATATGAATATATATTTTATAATTATATTAAATAATATAAATATAAATAACTTACGTGCATACTCGAGGTATGATCGAACAATAACATCATTACGTGTTTTGACATTTAAACATTTTGAAAGATCGGATAGCATAAAGTCATCATTATTTGCTCGAATTTTCGATATGTCAATATTTGTTTTTATAACTTTAGTTTTAAGATCACATAACCTTTCAAATAAAATATAAATATAAGTTATTTGTTAATTGTGCATATAAATGTTGTGTGCATAAATATCATTCACACAGAAACCAATGTAAATAAATAACATTACCACTTTTCTTTGATCATTTCTACGAAATCTTTGTGATAAGTGATTTGATCAAATACAGTAGCAAGCGAGATACCATCATATCTTCTTACTGTAGCAGAACAACCCCATAAAAGTATATGTGAATCCTTGTCATTTGTACCAAAATGTTGTAAAATTCTACTATAACTAGGAGCGACAGCATGATGCGCCTAATTTGATGAGGATAATAATAATAATAGTATCATGGATTATTATTGATATTATCATTATGATTGTGATATTATATGAAAAACAACCTCTGGAAAGTTTAAATAATTACTTCGTCAATGATGATAGCTTTAAAATCATTTTTATGATATCTTTCTAAACGCAAAGTATCTTCCCTTCCTAATGTTTGAACACTACCAACAATAATATCTGCATCAAAAGCTGCTTCATTTTCACCTTTGTCTACATCAACTATCTAACACATAATTAATTAATTAATTAGTTAGTTAGTTAGTTAAGTGAATAAATAGATGAGTGCGAATAAATATTAAGAATAATTGACTAATCTGTACCAAATCAGGTGAAACTTTACTGATTTGAGAACGTGCTTGATCAATCAATTCTTCTCTGTGAGCGATTACCAAAACTTTTTTTGCTTCTTTAAAAGGTGGTTCGATTCTTTTAATTAGATTAGAAAAGATTACCTTTTGGAACGGGGGTTTTTTAGTAAGATTGATTTAATGAAAAATTAATTCTTATTATTCTTGTAGTGATAAATACCGTTTTACCA